CGCTGCTATTCTACGTTTACCTATCGCTTTGCAATTTTCTCTGGCCAAAGGATCGTTATCATCGAATTTCAGAGTCTTGTAAAATTAATTTCAACACTTCTCCTCTGTTAAAATCCTCCTTTTGTACTTTCTCGAGCTTCCCGTAATAAAAATGAGATACTTATATTCTTTAAGTCTTCGTCTTTTGGTAAAATAAAATGTAGCTAGGAAAAACAGATCTAATGTTCAATTTGACGTGTCAAACGCATATTATTACGTCTTCGTATTCAATTGGGCAAATTGCGTCGATCTTCGGCTATTATCCACCTAGTTATCTGTACCTAGTTTTATTCGCGTTTAGCATCATGTATTTCGTATTCGTCGTAAAAAGAACCTTTAGGAGAAGGGGATAAAAAAAATAATCCTACGCGGATTATGTATAACGGGTTGGTGCGCATGCGAGTGACGTGAAGTTTTATTGAATTTTACAACATAGTTCCTCGCGCAGCGGAAGGCGATAAGAAACGTCGGTTGGCCGCCGATGGAGCGTATCGTCCTTCGTATCGGGACAATACGGTCCGATTTGCACGCGCGAACGGACTGAATTAGACGTCTAGCTGCAAACGTCGATCGCGCGTCGCGCGTCCATTAGCCGTCCTCTCGATTCGCAATTACGTCACTAAACGCGACCGTGACGGGAGGACGAAAAAAGCGACGCTGGAACAAGGACCAAAGTCGCGGAAGGTTTGCGCGCGCGTTTGCGCATGCACCTGTTGGCGCAGAGGCTGCTGCTCGACTTGTGCAACGATGCAGGGGATGCTCGATTCTTATTTACTCTCGCACGTCAAGCCTCGGCCCGCTAATCTCGGCGCGACCTATTAACCCTTAGACGCGTGTCTTTGCGCACGGCTCGCCGCAAAAGCCCCCGACCTTTATAGGAAATTGTTATATTTCGAGAGTTGCTCGATATTAATTCCCAGAATAGGATTTTTCAGAATCTTTTTTTTTTCGCATGCAAAACATAACGTGGAATTTAAATAATACCTTGGAATAGAGCTTTTTTAATTGAGTGTATATATATATATATATATATATATATATATATATGTGTGTATATATATATAGAAGGCACATTTTACGAACAACTATTACAGCTACATAATAGAATTAATCTCTTTCTCTCTTTCATTCTCTCTCGTTTTCTTGCTCTCTCTCGCTCAACTTAAACGTCTATCTTAAGATATCACTCTCGAGCGCGATTGTCGGTAATCTGCATAGAGCTGTGGAGTACTGCAAAGGGAAAGGGTCGTATAGCGTTATGTTATTGTCATTATACGTATAGTTATTGTCGGCAGCGCTTATACATTGTCCTTCGCGGACGAAGGACAGGACGTGGGGGGGAGGGGACCGTATCCGAGCGTCGAGGGAAAGTTTCTGTATTGTTTCTTGTTAACGGAAAGGAAGAGATTACCGTATACGTGATAATTAATCGCGCGAAGTTTAAGCCTACTTTAGGAGACAGCGTAATATTCGTGGATGGATGATATCCGTTCCTTCCGAACGGAAAACGTAGTAATCCCAATTAGCGTTAATGAAGTACTTAATTGTATCATTAAAAACGAAAATCTTTATGCATCGCAAGACATAATATCGCGAGATGTAATCGTACAGAGGAGTCCCCCTTTATACATCTTGTACATTTTTTTCTGCTTTGCGTTGTATTTTAAATCTTTTTCTCTCTCTCTCTCGTTTATTCGTAAGCGCACGGAAAGAACACTTTTGCTGAATCCAGATCTGAAAATAATTTTTGTTCAATAATCAAGATAATTTTGTGCAAAAGTCAAAATGATCGTTAGAATATCGAAACGTTTTACAGCAATGTTTATACAGTTTTAACATCCCAACTAATTATTTTAATGATTTGATAAAAAATTATTTTCAGATCTGTTTTTAGCAAAATTTTTAGACCCTTCAACGAAATCGTTCTTTCCGTGGCGTGTAATTAATTTTCGTAGTTCAGGAATTAATATTATATTCGCACGAATATTTTGATTCGCCTTTTAAGACGCGTGGAGGATTCCCTGTATGATTTAGCGACACAAAGAAGATTGTTGACTGCACATTGTAACGGATCGCACACACACACACAAACACACAGTTTCTTTCTCTTTCAGTCGAATTTCAATTACACCACTATTACCTACTTCGATCCTCGTTACAATCTTAGGGGCGTGAAAACACTTGTAGAAACAAGAGAAAGAAAAAAAAGAATCATGGAATGCACGAATATTTGTTTCCCACTCCTTTTTTTGTTCCTTTCGCTTGAAATATCGGTCACGCTATTTTTATTCTTTATTAAACCACTATAGGTAGGACGTGTAATTACTTTAGACCTTTCACGGTGGTAAAGTAATTCGCGATTATCTTTCACGCATCTTCGTTGTTTGAGAATCACGCGATGGTGCACAGTATATTCCGCGATCCGATGGATCTCGCGTGCGTTCGCTCGAAATACGAATTAAGCTTGAAAAATAAAATTCGCCTTTTTGCACGAAACACCCTCGGATATACTTAATATTATATACATACAATTATTTTAAAGGAAGATCGGAGAATTCGTTGTGTGTTGAGCAGCATTATTCCGTCTGTCTTTTTTCCTGAATTTCTTTCCGCGCGATTGCAACGAGCTCGATGTACAAAGACACGAATGCACATTTCTCACGTCACTCGACAAAATCGTCAATTAATAAAATGAAGAATGTTCCTCTATTACGGTTATTATCAGTAAAATATTGCCGCGTCTTTCCTAACTAATGTAAGCGATTTACAGAGTATTTGTATTACGCGTCGCAAAAGCAAGTATCAAAAGTATATTTGCCGCACGCTGTTAAATATGGAGCAGCTACACAATCCAATTCCTCGAGTTAAATAACATTTCGCTACTCTCAATTTCCACGTGTTGCGTCAAAGTGTATTATTGTGACGCAAAACATTATTGTGGTAAAAAAAAAAAAAACAGCCATGTCTAATCGATCCATTTTTTACGGTTCAATTGCTTCACATTAATTATGCATGTAATAAATATAAACTAAATTTGAATCAATTTAATATATTTCTTCAGTTAAATCGTTTAACTCCAATTCGTTTTAAGTTAAATTAATCGACATATTGAGTGAGAGGGGCGGTGGCGAAATTACCTTGTATTTCTATAATTAGAATAATTGATTGAAAAATAATTCAAATTGGGTGTAATTTTGTGACGCTGTAAATTTAACGGTGCAGCATATCCACCTGCTTTTTCCTCTGCTAATGTAATAAGGGAACGTTGACGGTTCGGTTGACGTCAACGTGAATGGGAGGCAAGGAACACTTATGTCAATTCGCGCATCTCACGCGTGTGGCCGTGTTAACTTCCTCATGTTATCGCGAAGTAAATCGACATTGATGCGTCGACACGTGGAACAACAAATTGATTAAGAATTAGTTTAAATCGAAATGAATTCCTACATATAGCGGGAATGTGACTCTTATCACATTTCGAAACTTGCGACTAAGCAATTAACACGTGCATACGTCTTATATGATCCGCGAGCATCGCGCGTTGTTGTCTACATTTATATATTTGATAATCTAACGTCGGTTCGTGCCGCTGCGGTCGGTCGGTGCGATACAAAACGTGTCAGTGCTTTTCTCTTTCTTTCTGGTGGGCAAGTCTAAGTGACGAATGTCGAAACACAATGCAATCGTTATGTAATTCTGCTCAAGCGAGAATACTTGTAGGAAAAAAAATAAGCAATACAATAGAAATCTCGTTGGGGAGTGCAAATAACAAAAAAGGGCAAAAGGCCATCGCACGATTTTGCGCGTTCCAATCTCGTTTTTACGGCACATGAAAATCGTGTAACAACCGTCGGACGAATACAGAGGTGACGAAGACTGTCATTTCTCCAATTCAAGCTCGAACGTTAGGAGTTGTTTAATGTTAAATGAACATCTCGTAACGACAAAAGTTCCCAGAACGAAGAAACTGACGAGGTGAGGATTCGCCTCGTTCACGTATCAATTTATTGTATTATTTTATACACGAGCGAGTATAAAATGAAACTCTCGAATGAAGCTGCAGTAGGAGATGACTCGCATAGTGTGTTTGTCGAGTGAAAGGTATACAAATTAGAAAATAAATATCGGCGTCTCGCAAAGACAGCACACGGTGGTGCTTCTCTCGGAAATCTCTGATCGGAGGAGTCCCGTTGGACATAAACGTCCGCCTCGCGTTTCATTTATTATAACGAGCACAACTCTCGTCGACGGGAGAGACAAGTCAAAGACTTTTTAACGCCGGCTCCACGTTTTTTCACGAGTGTCATCACAAACAAGACCGCGTTGAATACGAGATATCGGGGAGACGTCCGGTACGCGTATTACAAACGCGCGCGACAAGGCGCAGGTCGACCGACGGCGCGCGGCACGAACCTGTCTCTTTATTGGCACCGAGACGACGGCATTGCAGAACCGCCCTCGATATTTATCACAATACACATTACAAGTAAAAAAGGCGGAGAAGAGGGGGGCGGGGCGGGCAGTGGAGGGAAGGAAGAGCGGACGACAGACGAGGGAGAGCAGTCGCCGATATTTCGTCTCTCGATTCGTCCTTTAGATCTCGGTGTCCTTGGCGTATTTCTCGATCTCCGGGTATATCGGGTGCATCTCGAGGGTGCTGGGCGCCGACGGCACCGACGTCGGCGACGCGTCGCTGCCGCTGCCGAACTGTATGCGGCGGCACAGCTCGTCCAGCACCTCGTTGAACGTCAGGAGATTCAGATTTTGACCCAGCAGATGGAGCATCAGGAAGTCGCCAACCTGCAGAATTTTCTTCGATCAAATTTCGAAAGTGGAAACATGAAATTGTAATTTCGTTCTAAGAATTGGCACTTTCGTGTTCCCCGAGTTACATTATCCGCGCGGAGACTTTATGTGTACGAAAGTCGCGTCGCGCCGTTGGCAGTTACGGAGTTCCCCCAACTTTCGAAAGTTTTTATTAAATTCTCAAGTGGGTTACATCGCGTTTCATGACAATAATCGTCCGGTGACGAGGCGAAACTTTTTGAAAAAATACAATTTTGTCGGTATCTTCAGAATAAATTCTGCTGATGTATTACTTTATATTACTTGAAACAAATGTTTGGTTGGCGCTCCTTTAAGGGGTTACACCACCTTGACCGCCTAAAAATCAATCAGTAACTTTGGGAATTTTTTTTAGAAAAACAATAAAAGTAACAAAAAATTCATTTTAAGGTTTTAATAATACAAGTTTTTAG